CAACCAATCAATCAATCAATCAATCAATCAATCAAAAAAAAAAACAGTCAATCAATGAAAAAAAAAAAATTCTATTTATTTAATTTTTTTTGGTATTCTTCGAAATCCACCCCCCCGTTTTTGAAGTTCTTATGTTTTTTTTTTTGCGAGGAGGTAGGGGGACCCCCCCCGACTGGAAACCCATTCCCCGCCCCCCAAACCCCCTCCCCGATCGGCCGCGGCATCGGCCGAAATTTCTCGGCCGGGGCGGCCGCGGCCGGGGGGGGGCCGGCCTAGGCCGACGGCCGCGGCCGTGGCCGAACCGGGCCGCGGCCTGCGTGCAACGTAGGTTTTCGCAGTTATTTTTTCAACTGTGTTTTTCTTTTTTTTTTTATATCGAGCGCTTATCTTATGAAATGCAAGAATGAAACTTCAAACATCCCCAATCTATCCTTTTGACAGGGATCAAGCAATACAACAACTACATGCAGATCTTCCAAAGGACATTTGTCCGTCAAGACGTCGCTCGCGACGTCTTGTTCGTTGCGATGTTGTTTGAATCGGGTGGAATTAGGAATTTCATTCCCGAGGTATCCACATCCTTTAAAGACTCCGTCTAAATTTCGCAATGTTGGAGCAACTCATTGTGTTCGAAAGCCACTGCACAAGGATGAGAACCAAAAACAAGTGTGTCTGGGTCTGAAGAATAACATCGGCAAGAAAGAAATCGGTGCGCTCCAGCAGTCCAGCCACCCGGGGCCAAAAAACAGAGGTGCGTTCCACCCCCTGCTTTCTTTGAAAAAACAAGGAGGGGTTTAGCACAAAAAATAGTAGGTGTGGTTAGATTCATTCTAGCGTCGAATGGAACTCGCTCTGGCCGTAGCACCAACAATCGTTGGCGCCAGCGGGCGTGGGCTGTGCTGCAGCGGCACACATGGAAAGAGAGGCGTTCTACACCTCTCTACAACATCGGCGACGGTGCTTAACATGTTGCTCAATAAGACAACCACATGGCATAAATGGCTGCCATCTGGCGATCATAAAATTGCAACGGTGCCGACCACGATGCTCAATACGACGACGACAATGACAATCACAGTGAAGCCAACAATGTTCTACAGCTTCGATGAATCAGCACCGGAAGTGTTCAATTTGACGAAGAACTCCAGGGAACTACTTCAGTACGTTACGTTATCCAACCTGCAAAAGTCACTGAAAAACACGCTCAAGCAGGAGAATGCTACAAGATGGAATTCGTTATGCTCAAGAGTGTCAAAAACAGTCGTGATACTCTCTCAAGTATTGAGTCACTGGCAGGGGGAAGTTAATAAAAAAAAAAAAAAAAAAAAAAAAGTATTGAGGCGCTGAGGTGAGAACAATTTGGTAGTGATTGCCCATATCAATAAAGACTTGCTGGAGGAGATGAGACAAGTCCTTGATCGTTTCGAAGAAAGCCACACTCAAACTGGAAAGGTACCTCCAGCCTGCCCGGGGAACTACGCACCCGGACCCAAGGCCGTTCTTTTTTTTTTTTTTTTTTTTTTTTTTTTTGGACCCAAGGCCGTTCTTGGGGAGGGAGAGGGGTGGGAACGGTTTTCGGTTTCTAGGTGGTCCTGGGTCTTTGGGTAGGGTGACCCAGGCCAAAACATTGTCAACCAATCACTCAACCATCGTGTGACCCAGGACAAATCCTCACCCACCCGTCACCCAGAAAGGCCCACTAGCTGCAGGCGCCCCTGACCCACTTAAGATGGCTTAGATAGACGCAGACCCGACCCCATTAGCGTGTGGTTCGGCTGGGTGTAGGTGGGTGGGGCTTTGGTAACCCAGTGCCCACCTCTGCTTTCTGCTTATGGATAACCGGGCGGCTCACTGTGACTACATATACGCAGTTCCATTAGCCCACTGCCAAGCTTTCCTCAGGTCTGGTTGAGCAGTAGAGGCCGTCACTATGCGGTCATGCTGTGCCGCGAGTGGTAGTGATGTGTCTGAACTGTATTTTCTGTCTGTGGCAGACCTACCTTCGTTCGCTCCATGCTTCTTTTTGCTGGCTTATGATGGGGTGTGAACCTACCGTCTGTAGAGTTCTTCATCCGGTGTGAGTGAGTGATATCCTGCTGTGATTATTCATCACAGGTACACTTGAGGGCAGTGATGGGTGCCCACCACAGGGTATCACTTACGGGGCAGAGGTCGGTGGCCAACCGCAACTGCAACTGGGGTTAAAGCATCGGTACACCACATATCGGCCCGTGGGTGTCAGCATGAAACCCGCAGCACTTCGGAGGCCGCCGATTTGTTTTTTCAACGATGGGCCGTGTCGCGGGGCGCCTCCGAGTTCTGCATGTGGTAACAAAAACTTTCTGCAGGCTGGGGCCGTGTACTAGCGGTTTAAGTTCGATAGTGTCATCACCTAGAGGACTCTACAGACTGTAGAGGGTCCAGCTCTCTCTCTCTCTCTCTCTCTCTCTCTCTCTCTCTCTCTCTCTCTCTCTCTCTCTCTCTCTCTCTCTCTCTCTCTCTCTCTCTCTC